GGTATCATGGGGCTATTTTTGTCAGTATCAAAGTATGAAAAAGGTATCCAATGACTTAGCTGCTCACCCCGAGCTATGGATTCCCTGACACGTGTGGCATTGCCCTTGTGCTGCTCGCCTTGTGGCGTCGTTCTCTGGTGTGACACCGGCGGTGAGACCAGGCCACGAAGAAGGGCTACTGTCTCTGCTGTAGGCCAATCGGTTGTCAAAGACAGTACATCATATATTAATTGCCAGAGCGTGTTTGTTCACCAGAAGTACTGTGTGTTGTTAATGAAGACTTGATTCCTTGCTAAAGCTTTCTTATTTGGTGTTTGAACATCTTAACGCCTCCTGTTTTTTTGTATTGACCCCCCCCCCAGAAAGGGTAACAACCTAGCTCTCGTTTTTCAAGGTTGAACCTTGAAATAATAGCCATAGGCGACGATGACTGAGGGCTACCAGGTGAGGTCAAGTTCAGGACACACGCAATATCTGGGGCACGTGGCCAGGATGGAGGATGAACTGTCACTGGCCGTGAAGGATGGCGTTGGAGGTGACACTGTGGGGTGTTCTGGGGTGTTCCGGGGGGGGGGGGTGTTGGGTGCAGGTGGCGGGGGGCAAGACGAAGACCACGATCTTCCAAGTGGACATTAAACATTCAACACCGGCCGGGAAGGTGGAGATTGTCTCGGCTTGGAAGACGCAGAGAGACAGGGAAAAAGCGGAGAGGCTTCAAGGAGACGTTCGTGGTGGTGGCAACGGCCCAAGCAGCCCCGCAAAGGCCAAGAAACCAGAGCACGGCACTGTAGCGATGTCCTGTAGCGTGTGCGCATTCTAGATGCCGTGTGAAGATATGCGCAACATTGTCTAGGCACATGGTAGAAGTATGTATGTCAATATATATGATGCGTGGTGAGCGGTTGGTGTAGCGGTTAGCGTGCTGCGCTACGAACCGGGCGACCCGGGTTCGATTCCCGTTAACGGCCAACACCGGTGAAGATTATCTGAACCGGTTCTAGGCCTCTCGACTCGGCTTCAAATGAGTAGCTGGTGCGACGTGTAAACATCGCCACTGGGGAGACAAAGGCGGCCGGGAGTAGTGTTGGCCACCCACTCCCTGGTATGCCGTGCCGGCCTTTATGGGTGTTCGCTAACAACACTTGCCCCTACAGTCTGTTTTTGTACACTCAGACGTGTGTGCATACCAGCAATAGTGCACGTGTGGTGTACGTGTGGTGTACGTGTCCCGCTATACGGTGCACATTGACACGTGTATCGATGTTGAACTTCTTTCGCACAGTACGTAGCCAGCCGTGCTATCAACGTACAGGTATCGACAAATGATGGCTACGCTGCACAGATGATTCACAGCAAGGGTGAAACCGGAAAATAGTTGTACCGTCGTGCGGCTGTTGCGCGCTTCCGCTGAATAATAACACGGCCATCGTTTTGACTCTTTTGAGTTGGTGGTCTCGACAAGGCTGTGTGGCGACGTCGCGCGACGTGCAAGGCACGATGGGAGGACGGAACGCACGCATCCTACCGCCGAAATCGCGCCAATTGCCGTCGAGAAACCTCCGTCTGTGAGCGGTTATATTATTACGGTTGCGTTTTTTTGAGTAACCGGTAACCACTAATGATAAACGGTTACCGGTGTTAGCCGGCAATGAAAACAGGTGTTCGGATTCCAAATTTGACGTTTTCGTGACTGCAGGGATCCATGCGCTTTGGTTCTTTCGGTCAAGTCACGTAGGTGAAAATACAATAAAAATAAACTAAGTTAAATCACGACGTTGCGGAAGCAACACAAGCTTCCGTCATCATGCGGGACAACCATAGCAAAAAAAATATTTCTGTAGTGGGCTACACTAAAAAAAATTGCTGTAGTGGGCTACAGTAAAAACATTTTGCTGTGGTTGCCCCGCCTGATGATGGAAGCGTGTGTTTGCTTCTGAAACGTCGTGATTTAATTGAGTTATTTTTAAAATTTTATTTTCACCTACGTGACTTTACCGACAGAACCAAAGAGTATGGGTGTTCAGATGTTCGAACACCAAATAAGATGTACCTCTTGCAAGGAATCAGGTACCGCATGAACCACGCGTACTTGTGGTGAACATGTCAACAAAACACATGTCAACAAAACACGCCCCGAGACACGCAGGGCGCTACCTCGGCGTCCGTCACGGTCAGCGGTAACAGCTGGGCTCGCGATTCAAGAGGGCACCGGTTCGATTCCCATATCCTGGTGCATCGGTGTAAACGACGGGTGGACGAGATTCTGAGTCTACAAAGAGCCCCAAGCACCCCCCCTACCCTCGCCTCTTGTCCACCCAGAGCAGTTTGGTCGGTAGGGCTGGTCGTGTGGGGGGGGGTGAAGTGTGGGTACTCACACCAATCTCAACACGTCTGGTCGGCGTGGAAGAGTAGGCCAAATTTGAATTTGGGGGAGGGGTGGGGGGTGCCAAATGTCAGGACACAAAGGGGGTTATTTTATTTATTTTTAAAAAATCACAAAGAGTTATTTCATTTATCTTACCAAATGTTCAAGGTGACTTCCATGACTATCAATGCATGCAGGAATTCTCTTTCGAAATGGATTTAGGATCATTATTATTCTAAGATTGCAATTTGTAACACTTTGAAACATCCATCCACTACGTTTTGTCACAATTCCTTTGGCGTTAGCTGATCCCGTTTTGTAAACAACTGATGTGAGGTGACCCCTACAGGAATAATACATCGATCTACATGTAATTATAATCACATAGCTAACACATTAACTTAAATAATTTTCAATAATAATTTTTGAATTCCAGTGTTCATAGAAATAAAATGAGCCCATGTGTACTGACTTTTGGGCCACCTCTTTATTTCTTTACCCATTTATTTACTTGTTTCAATTACAGCTTCGGGAGCAGTGATTCAAATCGGCCGGCAAAACAGACATCGCACTATTCACGATCACGTTTAAAAAGTGTATTTGTAAAAAGTGTATTTGCTGTAACCCAGCCGAGAACTCGTCCGGGCCGGGATGAGTCTCACGCGCTCCGTGTGACTCCCCCGGGGTGGAGTTATTCGTCCGCCGCCAGCGAGGATGCAATGCAGTCAGTTTCGCGGCTAACGTCAGTGGCGATCGACACGGTAGAGGAACAGGACTAGTCCCTCCACTGTATTCACCACTAACCACGGTCACATTCACGAACCCGCACAGACCAGCGCGGTGAAGTATGGTCAAATAAACCCCCACGACCGGACACGGTGTGGGGAGGCGTTCATCCAGCTGTGGATTGACAAAGGGTTGTGAACGAATACCCTGGGTGGGAGTGTGTTTGTGTGTGTTGACCGACAGTGTGGGGAGCGGTGGTGCAGCGGTTAGCGCTACGCTGCGCTTCGAAACCCGGCGACCCGAGTTCGATTCCCGCTCACGGCCAACACCCAGTGATGATTATCTGAACCGGTCCTGGGCCTCCCCTAGGTGGACTCAGCCTCAAATGAGTACCTGGTGCGGTGTGTAAACCATCGCCACTGGAGAGACAAAGGCGGCCGGGCGTGGTGCTGGCCACCCACCCCCTCGTGTGCCGTGCTGATCTTCATAGGTGCTCGCTAACATCACTTGCCCCAACAGTATATTTCAGGCTATATGGGGGATCTTTGTCTTTGTTTGTTGTAACCTACAGTATAGACCTTGTGATAATGTCACAAATGTGCATACTAAATGCACGTGCGCCAATATATGATGTGTACACTGTCACGTGCATGCGTACCAGTAATAGCACACAGATGTAGTAGAGTGAATGTCTAGTGTATGTGTCGTGTATGTGTGCCATGGTACAGTGTACGCTGGCACGTCTATGAATGTTGAACTTCTTTCGCACCGTACGTAGCCAATCCTGCCAACGGGAGGTGCAGGGGAAGGGCAACAAACTAAGCACACAAAAAAAATCAGTTCTAAAGAAATGAGTGTCGCTTGGCTTCCTAATACTGCATCGGTAACGCATAATCATGATCGACTCCACCAATGCATACTGATGCACACAGCCCGTGTAAAATATGTTTGTGCGTAACACAATACATGCAACCCACACGCGCGCACACGTATTCACATGTACACTAAGACAAAGATCCCCCCGTATAGGCATAACGTGCTTTTGGGAGCACGTGCTTTTTGGTGAACACCGATTAGGGCTGGCGCGGTGCACGAAGGGGTGGCTGGGCAGCACCGCCTTAGGCCGCCTTTGTCTCCCTATGGGCGATGCTCAAACACCGCGCCTGGCACTCAATGCAGGCCAAGTCGATCTAGAGGAGGCTCAGAATAGCGTCAGATAATCATCGCTAGTCGCGCGGCGCCCTGACCGCTGCACTATCGCTCCCCACACGCACGCAGACGCGCGCACTTCAACACTCGCATGTACTCACGCACACAAAGACAAAGAGCTCACCCCCCACTAAAGTCTTTAACAGTCTGGTAGGGCAAGTGCTGCTGATGAGCAGCTAAGAAAATTGACAGGGCGCACGCAGACGCGCTTACAACAACAACAACAGCAGCAACCGCCATTCGCCACCAAGTGGCGGTGATGTCACCAAGGCGCCTGTGCCAGGCTAGGTGCACTTGAGGCCACGTGAATTGTCGAAGGGCTCAGTGAAAGGAGGTCACGGCAACGGACCCAGGTGCCATGGGTTGACCGACTGAGATGACTGGCAGATGCCCCCACCTGTGCTCCCCACTGTGCCAGCTCTCTGTGTTTTATCCACCCGACGCTCCCACTCGCTGCTGTGAGCGTCGCTCCTCTCGCCCTCCGCTGTTGCTGGAGGGCGACTGCCCAGGGGCAGCGAGCGTCCTCCACGGGCCGTCGACAACGTCCACTCGACCCCCCCCCCCCCCCACCATCTTTCTGTATCAAAATCAGCCCATCGCTTCTCTAGCCCGTGCCGCGCCCGTACACACACACACATGTACGCACGCGTGTACTCACTCACACAGAGAGAGAGAGGGGGGTGCTGTACACGTCACTTACTTGTTGAGTCGCTGGCTTTTATATTAAATTCTTGCTGCCGCTGCTGTTGTTGCTGCTGCTGCCTGCACTGCTATTACCCTAGTGCCCCGTTAGCAGAAGGCCATCTCAATTACTGGGTGGGGGGGGGGGGGGAGACGTGATGCATGCCTCCTCTTGTCTCGCGGGGATGAGGTGCAGTGGGCACAACATGGACAAGTTGGTGGGCCCTCCGCTCAAGCTGGCTGGCTCGCTTGGCTTGCCCTGGCACTGCCTCTGGACCTATTCAGATGATTTACACAAAGCCGAGGCTGAGCTGTTGTCTCCGCGCGCGCGTGTCTCTGCGCCTCCTTTCTCTCGCTCGCTCGCTCGCTCCAGTCTCTCTGCGCCAGAGGCTGACGCTTTGCTTCTTTGCAGCAGCGGAATCGCTGGGAATTTAAATTATGTCCTGCCTCCCTCCTCCTCCTCCTCTCCCTCCCTTCTCTCCACCACCACCCCCACCACCATCACCACTACCACCACCAACCACCAACCTCCCCTGCTGCTGCTGCAGCCCTATGCGTTTTATCCCCCGCCTCTGCACACACACAGAGCCCCGCTCGCCTCGTGCACACAACGCCTCTCCACAGCGCCACAAACACACGCTGCGTCGAGCGAGCACAACCACACGTAGCATCACACGCCGACTCGACCCAGCACAACCACAACCATTCTCATCAGCGGCATCACACGCTGACTCCAGCACAACCACAACCACTCTCATCAGCAGCATCATACGCTGACTCCACCCAGCACAACAACAACCACTCTCATCAGCAGCATCACATGCTGTCTCTACCCAGCACAACCACAACCACTCTCATCTGCAGCATCATACGCTGACTCCACCCAGCACAACAACAACCACTCTCATCAGCAGCATCATACGCTGACTTCACCCAGCACAACCACAACCACGCTCGGCACCACCACCAGAAATACCACGAGCCTCCTGAATCACCACCACCAAAAGCAACAATAGCGACTCGCCAGCATTAGCAGCAACACCACCAGCACAAGCATCAAGCGGCACCAGCGCAAGCACCAACTCAACCATCACCACGAGCAATCATCTTCACCACCACAAAGACAAAGATCCCCCGTATAGCCTTAACGCGCTGTTGGGGCAAGTGCTGTTAGCGAGCAGCGCCTATGAAGGCCGGGCAGGGTACACCACTACCACCACCACCACTAGCACCACCGCCAACAACAACACGAGGATCACCACCCCAACCAGCAAGCACCACCACCACCACCAACAACAACAACAACAGGAGTATTGCCATCGACCCCACGCGGCTGCTGGCTCCCTGCCTGCCTTCATCTCTCCCCTCCTCCCTCTCCCTCCTCTGCTGCTCTGTCCTCCATTCTTCCTCCACTCCCCTCACCCCTCCCCCGGCTCGCCCCGACCTCAGCACCACCGCCACCCACCCCGCTACCTCCCTAGCACTTGGAGGAATGGAGCGGGGGGGGGGGCGGTAGACACTGGCGAGGAGGGTTGAGGGGCTATGGGGGGGTACGAAGGGAGCAGTTACATTGTTGGGGGGAGGGGCGTGGAGTAAAAGAATGACGCGTTGGGCCCTCCGTGTCGTGAGCCGCAGTCCGCACGGAGTAACGCGACTCAGATGAGAGACGTTGAGTTTTCAATTTGACCGTGCCGATGTCTGTGAGCTGCCGCCGTTCGTTCGTGCGGGTCACGGGGGGACTGGCGTCATTCGTGACGCAGACCCCGCCGCTTCTCGCATGCACCACGTGGCATTGCGGCTCTTGAAATATTGAGTGGAGGAGGAGGGGGGTGTGGTGGGTATTTTTTTACCGAGTTTTTAAATGAATGAGTTATTCTTGTTGCTTTCATCGCCGGCTCCCGGTGGAGGTGAATAAACGGAGTAACGAATGCCACCAACACCACCACCACCGTCATCTTCATAATCATCGTGGTTAAACGTAAAAAAAAAACATACTATCTCACATTGAGTTTTTTAAAAAATATATATAATTTATCGCATTAACTGGCTCGTTTATGGATGGGTTTCTTTTTCACCATGGAAAATGACGAAATTATATTGACCGTTTTGAGAAGGGTTGGCCAACAGTTGTTTAAACGCTCATTTGAAATTGGCTGAAAACATCTTGATATGTAGAGGACTGCAGAGCTTGGGAAATTGCTAGTAGTGTCAGCTCACTGCTTTGCATGAAGCTGATGGATCTCTATGCAACTCTATGGATCTCTATGTAACTCTATGGAGTCTCCATGTAACTCTACGAGTCTATGCAACTCTATGGATATCTACGTAACTCTATGGGTCTCTATGTGATTCTATGGAGTCTCCGTGTAACTCTATGAGTCTCTGTGCAACTCTCTCGATCTCTATGTACCTTCATGCAACTGCAATGTCCTGTCACTGCCACCACGGCCAGCAGATTGTGGCCTTGTAGTCAGCCTTGTTGACTTTTCTTGTTCGCCTTGCCTACACTTTGCCCTGCGATCTGTTTGTTGTTGTGACTTTTTCACCAGCTCCTACTGGACGTATGTGTGGGGGGGGGGGGGGGAAGAACTTCATAGCTCATAGGATTTCTCCAGGATAAATACATTTTCTGATTCCTTGCAGCATGAGCGGCGTGGCCTCAATGGGAGCCTCGCCAGCTGAAATAATGAAACTTGAGTTTGTTGGCCGAAGAATATTTTGATTCGACAATTAAAAAAAAACCCCATCGAAAAGTACCTAACGAAGAACGGAGTGTCGCGCGTTCGTTTTTGCACCGAGAGACAGGCGGAGGAGCGCGTAGGTTAGAGGACGTATGCAGGGAAGCGCACACCGTATCGACTGTCGATCAGAACATCCGAATCTCGATTTGTACCGCAGGACGGCAACCGAGGAGACGGAACGATGACACGAGGCCTCGGGCAGACTGTTGCATCCCCAGGACACGTGAAGGATTGCAATGGCTTTGGGGTGAGCCTTCGCACAGCAGTGGGTTGATCATGACTGATGATGATCGCGATTATTCGTGTTACGATAATGGCTGCATCGGGAAGCCTCGCCGAGTCTCATTTTCGAGAGGGGCCCGCGAAGTTTTCGCGGCAGCGTGGCGACATTTCTTCCTCTTCCGCATGGCTTGCTGATGTCGATGCAGTGCAACGACTGCAATTTCACATTCGGGTGGGTTCAAGCCCAGATGAACTGCGTCAGGAGACAGTGGAGTAGTAAGCCGTCGCTGCGACGACGTCTCCTCCTTCGTGGTTGTGGATCGGGGCATTGCGTCGTTTGCACGGTGTTATGGGTCTCCTTGTTGTGGATGACCACGGTCGCACCGCTACTCCTGGGGAGTTTTTAACTTTCCATTTGTGTATCATCAGGTGTCCGCATCTGCTGCTGCCACGGTTTGCGCACTGGGTGCGATTTCGGGTGGACCATGAGCAGCTTCGCGGAGGATCAAACCCCAGGGGATCTTCTGCGTTGGGTCTTTCACAACAACGTGCTTGCATGTGAGTTACGTTGCTGCTGCTGCTGCTGCGTAACCCTGATTACGCAATTTGCCGGTACATTTTCAGCAGTGCATGGGCTGTTGTCGGTCAATACCGATTCAACTGTTATGATTCCCTTTTTGGATTCCTATGAGAGGAAACCTGAGAACCGAGAGGAAACGCATCACAGAACAGGAGGGAGGCTTGGGGCGGGCGGGGTGAGAACAAACTCCATGCACAGAAAGGCGACCGCTACTGCAATCGAACCCGGGTGCTTCTTGCTGTGAGGCACAAATTGTTTCCACTGCTCCACCCTGTAGCCTCCACAGCCCAGTACTCTACACGGGCAAATGTCGCCCGAGTCGGGAGTCGAACCGAGGCTGCCTCTTTGCCGTGCGGCACAAATGTCACCACTTGACGCCACCCCTGGCGCTCATGACAATGGTGCTTAATTGAAATGGACCAACTCCATACTCCTCCTCGTCATCCACATATTGTCTGGCTGACCCCCCCCACGTTCGTTGCACACGTACACAAGAAGTGAGTGACTGCATACATTACCCCGTTGATATTATTATTATTTCTGCTGCTGCTGCCGGTTGTAAGTAATCATCGAGCGGAACAATGGTGATTAACAACAACAACAACAATGAGACGCCACCACTCCGGTGTCGGGGGGGGGGGGGGCGCATTAACCGCCAGCTGTTTCATTGTCAGGAACAAACAAAAACCGGCCAGCTGTGTCATTGTCGGGAACAAACAAAAATCCGCCAGCTGTTTCATTGTCAGGATCAAACAAAACCCGCCAGCTGTGTCATTGTCGGGTACAAACAAAAACCCGTCAGCTGTGTCATTGTCAGGATCAAACAAAAACCCGCCAGCTGTTTCATTGTCAGGAACAAACAAAAACCCGTCAGCTGTGTCATTGTCGGGTACAAAAAAAAACCGGCCAGCTGTTTCATTGTCAAGAACAAACAAAAACCCGCCAGCTGTTTCATTGTCAGGAACAAACAAAAACCCGCTAGCTGTTTCATTGTCAGGAACAAACAGAAACCCGCCAGCTGTTTCATTGTCAGGAACAAACAAAAACCCGCCAGCTGTTTCATTGTTACAAACAAACAAAAACCCGCCAGCTGTGTCATTGTCAGGAACAAACAAAAACCCACCAGCTGTTTCATTGTCGGGAACAAACAAAAACCCGCCAGCTGTTTCATTGTCAGGAACAAACAAAAACCCGCCAGCTGTTTTATTGTCGGGAACAAACAAAAACCCGCCAGCTGTTTCATTGTCGGGAACAAACAAAAACCCGCCAGCTGTTTCATTGTCAGTAACAAACGAAAACCCGCCAGCTGTTTCATTGTCAGGAACAACAAAAACCCGCCAGCTGTTCCATTGCCAGGAACAAACAAAAACCCGCCAGCTGTTTCATTGTCAGGAACAACAAAAACCCACCAGCTGTTCCATTGTCGGGAACAAACAAAAACCCGCCAGCTGTTTCATTTTCGGGAACAAACAAAAACCCGCCAGCTGTTTCATTGTCAGGAACAAACAAAAACCCGCCAGCTGTGTCATTGTCGGGAACAAACAAAAACCCGCCAGCTGTTTCATTGTCGGGAACAAACAAAAACCCGCCAGCTGTTTCATTGTCAGGAACAACAAAAACCCGCCAGCTGTTCCATTGCCAGGAACAAACAAAAACCCGCCAGCTGTTTCATTGTCAGGAACAACAAAAACCCACCAGCTGTTCCATTGTCGGGAACAAACAAAAACCCGCCAGCTGTTTCATTTTCGGGAACAAACAAAAACCCGCCAGCTGTTTCATTGTCAGGAACAAACAAAAACCCGCCAGCTGTTTTATTGTCGGGAACAAACAAAAACCCGCCAGCTGTTTCATTGTCGGGAACAAACAAAAACCCGCCAGCTGTTTCATTGTCAGGAACAACAAAAACCCGCCAGCTATTTCATTGTCA